CTTTCTAATTTTACTGATTTGAGCCTTCTCCCTTTTTCTCTTGATGAGTCTGGCTAATGGTTTATCAATTTTATCTTCTCAAAGAACCAGTTTTTAGTTTTATTGATCTTTCCTGTCATTTCCTTCATTTCTTTTTCATTTATTTCTGATCTGATCTTTATGACTTCTTTCCTTCTGCTTACTTTGGGGATATTTTGTTCTTCTTTCTCTAATTGCTTTAGGTGTAAGGTTAGTTTGTTTATTTGAGATGTTTCTTGTTTCTTGAGGTAGCATTCTATTGCTATAAACTTCCCTCTTAGAACTGCTTTTGCTGCATCCCATGGGTTTTAGGTCATCGTGTTTTCATTGTCATTTGTTTCTAGGTATTTTTAAATTTCCTCTTTGATTTCTTCAGTGATCTCTTGGTTATTTAGTAGTGTATTGTTTAGCCTCCATGTGTTTGTATTTTTTTACAGATTTTTTCCTGTAATTGATATCTAGTCTCATAATGTTGTGGTTGGAAATGATACTTAATATGATTTCAATTTTCTTAAATTTACCAAGGCTTGATGTGTTACCCAAGATATGATCTATCCTGGAGAATGTTCCATGCACACTTGAGAAGGAAGTGTATTCTGTTGTTTTGGGATGGAATGTCCTATAAATATCAATTAAGTCCATCTTGTTTAATGTATCATTTAAAGCTTGTGTTTCCTTATTTATTTTCATTTTGGATGATCTGTCCATTGGTGAAAGTGGGGTGTTAACGTCCCCTACTATGACTGTGTTCCTGTCGATTTCCCCTTTTATGGCTGTTAGTATTTGCCTTATGTATCGAGGTGCTCCTATGTTGGGTGCATAAATATTTACAATTGTTATATCTTCTTCTTGGATCGATCCCTTGATCATTATGTAGTGTCCTTCTTTGTCTCTTGTAATATTCTTTATTTTAAAGTCTATTTTGTCTGATATAAGAATTGCTACTGCAGCTATCTTTTGATTTCCATTTGCATGGAATATCTTTTTCCATCCCCTCACTTTCAGTCTGTATGTGTCCCTAGGTCTGAAGTGAGTCTCTTGTAGACAGCATATATACAGGTCTTGTTTTTGTATCCATTCAGCCAGTCTATGTCTTTTGGTTGGAGCATTTAATCCATTTACGTTTAAGGTAATTTTCGATATGTATGTTCCTTAATTGTTTGGGGTTTGTTATTGTAGGTCTTTTCCTTCTCTTGTGTTTCCTGCCTAGAGAAGTTCCTTTAGCATTTATTTTAAAGCTGGTTTGGTGGTGCTGAATTCTCTTAGCTTTTGCTTGTCTGTAAAGGTTTTAATTTCTCCATCGAATCTGAATGAGATCCTTGCTGGGTAGAGTAATCTTGGTTGTAGGTTTTTCCCTTTTATCACTTTAAATATGTCCTGACACTCCCTTCTGGCTTGCAGAGCTCCTGCTGAAAGATCAGCTGTTAACCTAATGGGGATTCCCTTGTATGTTATTTGTTGCTTTTCCCTTGCTGCTTTTAATATTTTTTCTTTGTGTTTAATGTTTGATAGTTTGGTTAATATGTGTCTTGGCATGTTTCTCCTTGGATTTATCCTGTATGGGACTCTCTGCGCTTTCTGGACTTGATTGACTATTTCCTTTCCCATATTAGGGAAGTTTTCAACTATAATCTCTTCAAATATTTTCTCAGTCCCTTTTTCTCTTCTTCTTCTAGGACCCCTATAATTCAAATGTTGGTGCGTTTAATGTTGTCCCAGAGGTCTCTGTGACTGCCCTCAATTCTTTTCATTCTTTTTTCTTTATTCTGCTCTGCAGTGGTTATTTCCACTACTTTATCTTCAAGGTCACTTATCCGTTCTTCTGCCTCACTTATTCTGCTATTGATTCCTTCTAGAGAATTTTTAATTTCATTTATTGTGTTGTTCATCATTGTTTGTTTGCTCTTTAGTTCTTCTGTGTCCTTGTTAAACGTTTCTTGTATTTCCTCCATTCTATTTCCAAGAATTTGGATATCTTTGCTATCATTACTCTGAACTGTTTTTTTTTTGTTTTTTGGGGTTTTTTTTTTGCGGTACGCGGGCCTCTCACTGCTGTGGCCTCTTCCGTTGCGGAGCACAGGCTCCGGATGCTCAGGCTCAGCGGCCATGTCTCACGGGCCCAGCCGCTCTGCGGCATGTGGGATCTTCCCGGATCGGGGCACGAACCCGTGTCCCCTGCATCAGCAGGTGGACTCTTAACCACTGCACCACCAGGGAAGCCCTCTGAATTGTTTTTCAGGTAGACTGCCTATTTCCTCTTCATTTGTTTGGTCTGGTGCATTTTTACCTTGCTCCTTCATCTGCTGTATGTTTCTCTGTCTTCTCATTTTGCTTAACTTACTGTGTTTGGGGTCTCCTTTGTGCAAGTTTGTAGTTCCCGTTGTTTTTGGTGTCTGCCCCCAGTGGCTAAGGTTGGTTCAGTGGGTTGTGTAGGCTTCCTGGTGGAGGGGACTGGTGGCTGTGTTCTGGTGGATGAGGCTGGATCTTGTCTTTCTGGTGGGCAGGATCACGTCTGGTGGTGTGTTTTGGGGTGTCTGTGGACTTATTATGATTTTAGGCAACCTCTCTGCTAATAGGTGGGGTTGTGTTCCTATCTTGCTATTTGTTTGGCATAGGGTGTTTAGCACTGTAGCTTGCTAGTCGCTCAGTGGAGTTGGGTCTTAGTGTTGGGATGGAGATCTCTGGGAGATTTTCGCCGTTTGATATTACGTGGAGTTGGGAGGCCTCTGGTGGACCAGTGTCCTGAACTCGGCTCTCCCACCTCAGAGGCTCAAGCCTGACACCTGGTCGGAGCACCAAGACCCTGTCAGCCACATGGCTCAGAAGAAATGTGAGAAAAAAAAAAATAAATAAATAAAATAAATTTATTAAAATAAAAAGCTTATTAAAAATAAAAAAGTAATAAAAAAAAGCAAGATAGAAAGAAGAGAGCAACCAAACTAAAAAACAAATCCACCAATGATAACAAGCACTCAAAACTATACTAAAAAAAAAAACGGACAGACAGAACCCTAGGACAAATGGTAAAAGCAAAGCTATACAGACAAAATCACACAAAGAAGCATACACTTACACCCTCAGAAAAAGAGAGAAAGGAAAAAAATATGTATATATATATTAATAAAAAAAAGGAAGAGGGCAACCAAATCAATAAACAAATCTACCAATGATAATAAGCTCTAAATACTAAAGTAAGATAAACATAAAGCCAGAAACAAATTAGATGCAGAAAACAAACCCCAAGTCTACTGTTGCTCCCAAAGTCCACTGCTTCAATTTTGGGTTGATTCGTTGGCTATTCAGGTATGCCAGAGATGATTGTGGAGATTTAATCTGCTGCTCCTGAGGCTGCTGGGAGAGATTTCCCCTTTTCTTCTTTGTTCGCACAGCTCCTGGGGTTCAGCTTTGGATTTCGCCCCTCCTCTGCGTGTAGGTTGCCCTCTGGCGTCTGTTCCCCGCCCAGACAGGAGGGGGTTAAAGGAGCCGCTGATTTGGGGGCTCTGCTCCCTCAGGCCGGGGAGAGGGAGGGGCATGGAGTGCGGGGCGGGCCTGCGGCGGCAGAGGTCAGTGTGATGTTGCCACAGCCTGAGGCGCGCCGTGCGTTCTCCCGGGGAAGTTGTCCCTGGATCCCGGGACCCTGGCAGTGGCGGGCCGCACAGGCTCCCCGGAAGGGGGTGTGGAGAGTGACCTGTGCTTGCACACAGGCTTCTTGGTGGCGGCAGCAGCAGCCTTAGCGTCTCAATTCCGTCTCTGGGGTCCGCGCTGTTAGCCGCGGCTCGCGCCCGTCTCTGGAGCTCATTTAGGTGGTGCTCTGAATGGGAGTATTGAGCAGTGTGTGGAGCTGTATTTTTTCTGTACGTTAAATGGCTCCCAATCATTTTGTCCACTTTAGTTTTGATACCTGTTGTATACATTTTAGGCTTTTTCTTCGCTCTTACTGTTTGGTGCTGCCATTGTCCTTTCTCTACTTGTACCTCTACCCCCCTTTGTACTTCACTGCTCATGAACTAATAGAGGCCAGTTAAAAAGATAATTAAGCTTGCTTGACCATGCTGTTAAGATTGTGTGAAAAAAAGACAAAGTGGCATCTGTGTAAGCAAAGCAAGTGGTCGGCTCAGTCATTTTTACCTCCTTCCAAATTCTTGTCTATGTTTCTTGATCATTGAGGTCACCAGATAAGTGACCTTAAGCTAGGCACAGTGCTTCTATAACTGTATTTACTGTAATGCTTGGTCATTCTCATATACCAAAGGTAGGATTACAGATTTTTGACATGTCTTACTGTTTAGTAACATGTAACACAAAACTGTGACTGAAATAGTCCAGGCTCAGGGCAGTGCTGAAGTTAAAAGATGATGAGCCCGTTGGCCAAAATGAGTTGTTTCCTTGCCATACAGAGGAAGTACATTGATTACAGAAAGATTCCTTCTCTTGCTCGTCAATGTCCTACAATATCGCAGTGTTTTTCATCACATTCATTCCTAAACCTCTGTGTTCTGCTCTAGCGCCAGCTGCAGTGGTTAACCTCTCCCCTCCTTTCCTCCCAATTCTACATGGCAACACTCAAGATAGTTAACTTTTTTAATTGTCAATTATTTTGAGATAAATTTTTATGTTATGACTCACAAGGAGTTGCGCAATCATACCCAGAGGTCCCATGTACACTTCACCTGGCTTCCCCCAACGAATACCTTACAGAACCGCAGTACACTGCCAAAACCAAGAAACTGACAGTGATACATTTCTGTTGACTCAGGCACAGTGGTTACTCAGATCCCACCAGCTTTCACATGCAGTTCAAGAACCTCAGTTTTGTAAGGCGGGACCCCCCTTGGAAGGTGGGGAAGATAATGACACCGACAGTACCACACTAGAATCTAGGACAGGTGATTTAGAAGGAAAGAAGAGAGAGGTTAGATGCATACAGATAACTTTTGACCCATCACAGTTAAACTGATTTCTTCCTCGTATTTTTTACCAAGGGAAAACCTGGTACCTCAGGACCACCTGGCAGCAAAGGAGAAAAAGGTGACCTGGTTGTATCAAGAGTGAAAGGTGAGCATAATCAATCACTTAGCTCCCTGCCATTTGATGAATGATGTATGAACCATTCTCTTGCATTAATTTCTCCTGGGACTGCAGATGAATTCTATAATAAGATTTGGGACTGTTGAGATTGCTTAAAAAAAATACTCCCTGCCCTTCAGAGTCGTGTGAATGTTGAGCCTAAATCCTGTGCTCAAATCCTCATTGTTGTGAATTGGGTTTGAAACAAGACCTCCTTTGATTTGCCTAGCATCTATTCGCTGCATTATAGTATCCTGTATTAATCAAGAATATTTTGGTTGTAAGCGACAAAAACCCAGCTTGAAGTAGTGTTTTTAGAGAAGTAATTTATTGACTTAAACAAAATTTGAAAGGTTAGGTGTATGGTTTGCACTGGGACGACTGCATGAGAAGCCTGTCTCGGCATCTTGCATCTTTCTTTGCACCACCTGCATTTTCGCCCTGTCTGGTTTTCTCTGGGCTATGCGTACCTGCCCCCAGGTAGCTCCAAGTTCTTACAGCCAGAGGTGAAAGAAAGCTCTACCTCTTTCTGCTCCAGTTAGAATAAAAAAGGTCCAGGAAGGACTGGATTAGCCTGGGGCATGGGCCCAACCATGGACCATTCCCCCACTCACTATGGGCAGGGGATGGCTTGCCGTGTTTGGTGTCACACAAGCAGAGGAAGATGCTGTAGGGGATTGGCACCTCCACACACAACCTCCTCGTCAGAACAGGAAAAGAAACATTTCCCAAATAAGAGATTCAATGGGTTTGGCAATTGTCAATCTCCCCTTTGACTTTCGCATGATGGTCTTCGTGTGACTTTAGTCAACTGAGACACTCAGAGGAACCTCTACCAGCCCAGGGTCATGGTCATTGCCTTTATCTTTAGTCCTTTGTTTCCTTCTACTTATTCCATTGCTGAGAAGGGCTTGACTCTTTCGGCCTTTGTTACCAGGGCGCAAAGGAGAAAGAGGTCCTGATGGGCCCCCAGGATTTCCAGGGCAGCAGGGACAACACGGTCGAGATGGATATGCTGGAGAAAAAGGGGACCCAGGACCGCTGGTGTGTATAATTCTTCTCCCACTATAGAGTTTCACTCTCTTACATGGTCACAAAGCATCTGTTTTCCCCTTCTCAGTTTAAAAAAGCTGAACAGTAACGTGTCAACATGCTGTAAATCAGAGTCACATTTGATTCCCTGCCACAAAAAGATGGCTGTTACAAAAGGTATGGCTTATTGCAGATGGTCTAAAATCCGAGTGCAGTTCATCATAGCAAGAGTTTCTGTCTCTAGTCTTTATATTATTCTCGTGGTGCTTATTTCCTTACGGGGCCCTTGTCTCTACAGAGCCCCCACTGGTTTCAGGTCTGTTCAGTTGACTCTGTAGCGTGGAGGATAGCACACAGGTCCTGATAATTACCTTCAGTTCTGTTCTCTGATGAAGAAGCACATGAGGGGAAGTGGCAAGCAAGAAAGGATGAACTAGTGCAGATCCACTGGATAGACATATTGGCTGATGGAAGGTCCCACTGATAAATGATAATTCTGCATTTTTCAAACATGTTTTGGGTGGAGACCACGTGTAGCTGATGAAGTTCATAAGAAAAGACTGTGAGACATAATCAGGAACTTAAAATCTTGGCACATGAGGTAGTTTTGAATGCTTGCAATGCCACACAAACTGAGCTAGATGTTTTACTCGTAACTGTTGTCTTCTGAGGAACAATTATCTTTGAGACTTTACAGTAAGGAGATGGAGGCTTAGGGTACGTTACGCAAGGTCAACAATCTATCAAGTAGGCTAAGCAGGAGGGAAAACCCAATCTTTCTCATTTCAAGTACATGCTGTTTCCACCAGATCATGCAGCCTGCCACTGAGAGTGTTGTAAAAAGGAAGGACCACGTTCTGATTTTATAGGACTCCTATCTGATAAAATACATGTGAATGAGAGACGGAAGTTTGGAAGTTGGGTTAGATGGTATTTATAGCTTTCTGGTCTTTCAGTGGATATTGAGTATATAAATAATCTTCTCTGCTTTAGATTTGGTAATCCCTGTTTCATTCATTCTTCCACTTAAGAAACTACAGTGGTCCCCCCCTCATCCACAGGGGACACGGTGCAAGACCCCAAGTGGATGCCTGAAACCGTGGATAGTACCCGACCCCATACATACCTATGATAAAGTTTAATTTATAAATTAGGTACTGTGAGAGATTAACAACTAATAATAAAATAAAACAATTATAACAATATACTGTAATACAATTTATGTGAATGTAGTGTCTCTGTCTCTCTCAAAATATCTTGTTGTACAAATTTAATGCCTTTCCATCTTAACTAAGCACTTAGCAAGCACTGTGCCATGACTTCTGCAGGTTGCGGTGTGACAGCAAAACTAGCACAAATTTCATTTTCCTCCTTCACAATCTCATGGATATAAAAGTCATTCTTACCATAGATCTTAGCAACCTCAGCATACGATTCTTCTTTCTTTCCTTATTAAATTGAGAACTTGCACCTTTTCACTTAGAGGAAGCACTTTACAACTTCTCTTTGGCATATCTGAATTATCAGCATCACTACTCTTGTGCTCTGGGGCTGTTATTAAGTAAAATAAGGGTGACTTGCACACAAGCACTGCGATACCACTGCAGTCAATGTGATAACCAGATGCTACTAAGTGACTGACTGAAGGATATGCTGGAGAAAGTGTTGATTCACGTCCCTAGTGAGATGGAGCAAGACGGCTTCATTATGCTACTCAGAACGGAGCACAGTTTAAAACTTGTGAATTGTTTATGTCTGGAATTTTCCATTTAATAGTTTCAGACCGTGCCTTACTGAAACCTTGGAAAGTGAAACCGTGAATAAGCAGGGGACTGCTGTATTTAGAAACCAACGTCACTGAGTGATAAGTGTCATCATGTACTAACCTAACTGTGAAAAACCGAAGTGTATTTACAGATCAGATTGGGAGAGGAATTTCTATACCACCCGCTAGGGACGGGGGAATCTCTCTAGAGTTTCAGACTGAGTCTGAAACAATTCAGACTCATAGACCACATTTGGGACCAGGCCGCTCAGAAGGCTAGAAGGCGTGACCCTCAGCTTGCCTGCAGGGCAGTGTCAGGCGTTCCTCCTACACAGGAGTCCTTGCAGCTTTTCATTCAGTTGGGGTGAAGGCAATGAGATTCTCATATGCAGAAGTGTGAGCAGCCTGGACTTGAAAGCCTCCTTCTCCACGGGAGTATTATCTCCACCACAGAGCTAGCTTGTGGGGACCCCACAAAGAACTTGCCAGTTACAGGAGCCACCTCTTAAGGAAGCCCTGACAAAGGCTCCACACAGGTCTTTATAGTTCTTCCAGACCGCATGCAAGTTTTGCAGCCAGGGATTAATTTTACCATAAGCAATGTGGTCTAGTAACGCAGTTGACATCCATTTTTATGCAGATTCCTGAAGAGCAGAACTAGACCCTTAACCAAAGGTCACATTCTTATGCAGGAGGAGAAAGGATTTGTCAGCCCTTGGCCCACAGAGGTGGAGGGCGATAAAGTCCCTCCCTGTGTCTTACAATAATGCAGAAAAAAACGTTTCTAATAGATAAGAATTTATTTAGTTTGTAAGCCCACTACTTCCCTTAATGTATGCATTTCTATATTTTATTGTATTTGCTGTCACAGAGTGGTTCTAAATAAAATTTCTTTTTCTGTATTTAAGACATAACACATATAATTTTCTGTTTTTGAGTCATAAAACACACATCAAGAGCATATATATGTCTGTAAATATGTATGTAAAACATTAAGGAGAATCTTAGTTAATCATTTAAAATTGCATTTGCTATTAAGTAACTTCTGGAATTAACTGGCTTTCTGCATGCATTTTTGTAGCCTACAGTGACAATGATTGCTTTGAGTTCATGGCCTTTCAAAGGTTGGTGATTGACTCTTGATGCAAATGTTCTCAGGGAGATCATGAAGATGCAGCCCCAGGTGATAAAGGGCCTCCTGGACCACCAGGCCCCCCGGGCAGAGCAGGACCTAGGGGGCCTCCGGGACTGGGATTTCCTGGTCCACCAGGAGAGAGAGGGCAACCAGGAGCTCCAGGCTGCCCAGGCAAGAGGGGCCCTGATGGCTGGAAGGGTCAGAAAGGTAATTTTGAATGTTTTTGTAGCAGAATGTCAAGTGAAATCATGGAAACTAAAGTAAGCCTCTCTTCTGGGCAAAGTTATTACAGTTATGGTAGAACCTCTAAAATAAAATTCCCACAGTTCACTGTTCAAACCTTGAATGTTGTCAAACAAATAAAAGCATTACAGCACAATCAATACTTAAAACAAATCTTTAAAATGCTGAGATGTCTTTGCTGTTTTATTGGTTTGGCAAATTGCCTTTCATTTCTCAGTATCAGTGTGGACAATCTGACTTAAAATTACATACATGTATATATTCAAAATCTCTCTTTTTTTTACTATCTTTTGAGATTATGCATTTTATTTGAATAAAACCACTAATATTTCATTTTAAAAATACAGCATTGTCCATGAAAACCCATTTGTAGGCATTCTAGGGAGAAAAAAAGGAGGGATTTTGAATATATTTGACAGTTATTTGGATTTCAAACAATAAAGTGACTTGTAGTTTTATAGCTGAAAAGTTTTAAAAAGTTTGGAAAAAGATTGATTTAAGATTTTTTCTTTTGTAATATGTGCATATGACTTGAGTTACATAGTTACTTGTGAAATTTTATAATATAATAATATGTTTGGTTCTTGCTTTGACAACATAGAAAGACGAATACCTTGGAATTTGATATGGTTTAAGATCATGGTCTGGAACCATCAAAATATAACATTATTTTTATTCATATGGTACATTTTTTATTTAAGAGCTTATGGTGTAATACATTATGAGATGAAATTTCTGTTATAAAAGGGAAACATTCCATTTTAAAGGAGAAGAAAACTCAGAGCACAACTTTGAAATTCTATTTTCTTTACCAAGTGAAATGAAGGATGACAAAACCACATTGCAAAGTCATTAGTAAAACAAGAGCCAGTATATATATATTTTTTAATAAATTTATTTATTTTATTTTTGGCTGTGTTTTGTCTTCATTGCTGCACACGGGCTTTCTCTAGTTGCAGTGAGCGAGGGCTACTCTTTGTTGCGGCGCGCAGGCTTCTCATTGCGGTAGCTTCTCTTGTTGCGGAGCACGGGCTTTAGGTGTGTAGTTGTGGCACGTGGGCTCAGTAGTTGTGGCTCGCAGGCTCCAGAGCACAGGCTCAGTAGCTGTGGCACATGGGCTTAGTTACTCCACGGCATGTGGGATCTTCCCCAACCAGGGCTCAGGCCCGCGTCCCCTGCATTGGCAGACGGATTCCCAACTACTGGGCCACCAGGGAAGCCCCCAGAGACAATATGTTTGAAGCACCTGACCCATGGCAGGCCCTCAGTAAACGGAAGCTGTTATTAGTATCTCTCCCAGTCTCTTCATTTGCACAATTCCCCCACATCCAAGCTAGGAGTCAAATCTTGGGAGCTCAGTGTTGGATGCTTGCTGCTATTTCATGATTTATCAAAGCTTCTGATTCCATTGTATTAGACATCCATGGGTCTATAATCCATTATTTTTTGTAGGTTATTAAACTGGTATTTCTTGGAATCAATATTTTTCTTATTCCCCTTCTATTACTGTCTGACAGTTGAAGTTCAGATTTCAGAACAGATCTTCTAGAAATTCAAAATAAACGTAGTTCAAGTGACCTAATGAGACTCGAGAGTCTTCTTTTCCTTTGAATTCCACATATACCGTATGAAGAAGTATCTTGATCGAGTTGTCATTGAGATTCACGTTGCATTGGACTATCAATTATGTGAATGCCAATTTATTTTTTTTCATTCCAGGTGATACAATTCCTTGTAACGTAACCTACCCTGGGAGGCCAGGCCCGCCAGGTTTTGATGGACCTCCAGGTACGATCAAGGAGAAGTTACTGTCATACACATTCCCAACTAAAAGAACTGGCAAGACAGATAAACCAATAGCAAATCCTCAGGAACTATCTAGGATATTTCTACCCTGATTATAAAGCTTTGAGGGACTACGGGGAAACACCATTTGTAGCCATTCCTCTTGGGTCCCCAGTCCACCAAACCCACTCTGAATAATATTTCTGTGCCACAAAATTTACCTTGATTTGATCACATATCAGCAAAAATGATTGCCTTTTGAGCATTTTAAAACTATATCTTCTTTCCTTACTTGTGCCCCGAGAGTGAAAATTGATAACTTGCTTACTGATTATAAGTTTTACTCTATTCTGCTTTCCAAGAGACCCAAATATCTGACCAGAAACGTTCTGAAAAATGCCCATGCATCTACACCCCGGATTACACTTTCATACAACCACTGCACTTGACTCAGTCACGTATTTATAGCTGAATTAAACCCTAGATCTATATAAGGATTTTGTCTAATTCTTTTTTATTTATTTAGAGTTCACTTAAATTGACCTGTTAAGTACTAGCATGGCCACTAAAGGTCACCTTTCTTGTTCTACGTAACTATCAATACAAAAAGTGTTTAAGCATTGAATGATGAAGGACTCTCTATTGCCCTCTATAACCACTGGCTTTCACAATAGTGTTGTATAACAACCTCCAAATTGCAGTGGGCTTTAACAAATAATATTTATTTTCTCTCTATGGGTCTGTCGTTGGCTGGAGTTCAGCTGATCTAAGATGGTCTCTATCGGCTTCATGCCTGGTCCTGGGTCAGGTCAGGTCTGCAACGGGCATCTCATTGTGAGGCCAGGGTGTGCTCTGCTCCTGTGGTTGCTGAAATGCCAGAGGGTGGGGCCCAGCTTCACTTGCACTGGTCACACCTCTCATTACTTCATGGTGTTACTATCCTATTGGCCAAACAAGTCACATGGCCAAGCCCTGGGTCAAAGTGTGGGAAATACGGGCCACCCACCACAAGGCAGTGGCAAGGGTGTGGAAATATAATTCTGTATCAGTGGAGTGAAGAATGGTTGGTTGACTGATTGTACGTTCATCTTCACATTTGCTGGTACCTTGTCATGGGTGGATAAAAAGCACGCATGGTCACTTTCAGCAGGGAAGTGAACACTCAGAGTTTCAGCTAGCAGTTGCATCTCCTTTGAAGTTCGTGATTTATAAGTTATTTTAGCCTAGAGAACTCCCTGTAGGAAAACACAGAAGGTTTTAAAAAAAAATCTCAATTCCTTTTGCAGGTGCTTTTTTTTTTTTTTTTTTTTTTGCGGTACGCGGGCCTCTCACCGCTGTGGCCTCTCCCGTTGCGGAGCACAGGCTCCGGACGCGCAGGCTCAGCGGCCATGGCTCACGGGCCCAGCCGCTCCGCGGCATGTGGGATCTTCCCGGAGCGGGGCACGAACCCGTGTCCCCTGCATCGGCAGGTGGACTCTCAACCACTGTGCCACCTGGGAAGCCCAAATGTGCTCGTTATTCGTTTATTTATTTTTTTTGCGGTACATGGGCCTCTCACTGCTGCGGCCTCTCCCGTTGCGGAGCACAGGCTCAGCGGCCATGGCTCACGGGCCCAGCCGCTCCGCGGCACATGGGATCTCCCCGGACCGGGGCACGAACCCGCGTCCCCTGCGTCGACAGGCGGACTCTCAACCACTGCGCCACCAGGGAAGCCCTTGCAGGTGCTTTTTGCCTGTACTTCATTTAAGGGCAAATGCAGTAAGATGCAGGGAAATAGACTTGGTCTTTATTCTGGTGCTTTCTCCATCAAGCCACACGCTGGCCACCACCTCTGTCCTCTTACAAGGAAGGCTATCCTCACATATTTGTGTTTGAGACTCAGCATGGGAAGGTATCAAAAGATTCATCTGAATGGTGGTGTACGTCCCAAAGGCTTTCAGAAAGAATTCTTTACAGCATGGCTTCTGAGAAAGTACTTTAACACAATCTCTATGAAAAGCTTATTTGGAGCACAAGACTTATAAAAACCAGGCTAGGCACCACCTATACTTCCATAAAGTAGAAATACCCTAAGAAAGACTTAACATAGATTTTATTTTAAAAATCATCTATTTTGTCCTCATTTGATTTTATTGTGTCTGTGTTTTGTTGTTTTTGTTTAGGTCCAAAGGGATTTCCAGGTCGTCGGGGAGTTCCTGGGTTGAGGTGTCTGGATGGGGAAAAGGGTCAACGTGGCAAACCAGGAATCTCAGAAATACCTGGTCCACCTGGTAAACAAGGGCTTTTCATTTAGGAATGTCTCATGATCTTAGTCAGCAAATGGCCCAGGGATCCCTAGATGGTGGGGCAATGGTTTTTCTTGATATAGTAAGCTCTTAGCTATGTTTCGATAACTTCTACGTTATGATACTTTTGTGATGTCTCAGGGCTCCTTAAACCTGGAGCATGAGTTATCGGCTATTATATTACGTTGTAGGAACTGCTCAGTCTAGACAGACTGTTTGCCGGTAAGTGAAAGCAATTAGGGAAACGTCATTGGCTTATAGGAAACACGGAAGTTACAATTCATTTTCTGACAAAAGGTGGCAAAAAACAATATTGCCTCTTAAGTTACTCTTAATTTTAGTAGGTATCCCTGTATTTTAAAACAATGTGTTTTTATCAAAGTACTAGTCTTATATGTGTGTTGGTTCTATATCTGTACATGTAACAATTTAAACAATTTTTTGTTCAATAGGTTTTCCTGGTGATATGGGAGATCCAGGTTTTGGAGGTGAAAAGGGGTCCTCCCCTGTCGGGCCCCCAGGCTCTCCAGGTTCACCTGGAGTGAATGGTCAGAAAGGACCTCCAGGAGACTCTGCTGTTGGCTACCCAGGACCCCCAGGAAAGAGGGGTCTTTTAGGAGTACCAGGGTCAAAAGGACTCAGAGGTGATCCCGGACGACCGGGGGCTGCAGGTATGAGGGCTGTGCTCTTCCTGTGTTCCATAAAGCCAGCTCGGTTCTGGAACAGGTTCCTGAAGAGTGTCTAGACTATCTTGCCTTAAAAATCTAGAATGTAAAATTTTCAATCAGGCATCTTCCTGCATACATGGGCAGTGGTTACATTTCTAATAACCTGCATCCACAGTGTTGCCTTTGCATTTTATTGGTTGTTTTCAAACCCAGCTCACCATGGCTCAGTCTGTTCAATTTGATTCAGCAGCTACCAGACATCTGCCTGCTTTGGACTCCAGGACAGTATGTTAGCTCCAAGGGGCAGGGACTGGGTGATCCGCCCACTGCCATTGCCAGGCTGAAGGAGGGCAGGACAGGCTGTCAGAGAAGAGCAGCTCCGTGGGGCAAAGCAGGGTGGGCTGGCATTCAAAGGAAAGCTCTGGGGGAGAGCTAGGCACGAGCTGAGTCCTGGCAGACGCTGTGTTCTTTGGACAGGTGAAAGGATAGAGGGACTTTCATTCCAGCAGGGGTAGCAGGCAGGGCAGTGAAACTTAAGATGGGGAGATGGCCCTGGCACTGATTCACATCCTTTTCTGAAATCGCTATGGATTCTTCAGGATCCCCAGCAGAGGTTTTCAGATTTTAATGTACTTAAAAATACCACGCCCCCCCAAAAACAGGGGTAGAGGTGGGGGTCATTAACATCACCATCTTCTGGGCCCCAGTCTAGGAAATTGTGATTCATTACATCAGAACTGGGTGGAGCCCAGCAGTCCAGTCTGGATTTCAACCCCTGGGGGATGGTGACGAAAAGTGGACCCCAGATCAGACTTTTACAAACAGTGTTCTGGTTCTTTTCTAATGATGGATGGGCCAGTGTTTATTAGGTACCCATGATAGTACAATAGTACAGGGAAAATGGAAGGCGGGGAAATAAGCCACATTCTTTGTCCTCAGAGAGCTTATCCAATAGTTTGTAAGTCAGAAGCATTCATATACAAAAACCCATTTAATTGGAACATAACAAGATAATACATTATGTGAGTCAATGAAAATAATTTTGTCCCAGTAATCCCACTATCTCAATTGTGAGATGTATTTAAGGGAAGAATTCAACAGGAGATGGTTAGTACGAAAATACTGTTGTAGTATTATTCACAGTAGAGGAACAATTGAAAACAGTAAAGAGAGCTAAGTAATACATACATACACATACTCACACACCACACTCAAAGGAATACTATTCAGCTATTAACAATTAAAATTATATTTGCAAAGATTACAATAAAATGGAAAACATTTGCATATTAACATGCAATATGAAATAACCCAACAATTGAAAGTGCACTGGGATTACTATTTTAAAAATGCAAACATATGAACCAAAATACAATGAAAACATCAAACAATAAAATAGATTTTTAGGTTAGGGTGTAGAATTATGGAAGACTTTTTTCCCCCTGAAGATCATGATGCTATCTTTCCAATAAATACAAACTTTGAGAGTTGGAATGATGAAATCGTTTACAGAATGCAAATTCAGACAGTACAAACTGGGCGTGCAAGCATTGTGGTGGTTTGGTGTAAAGGCTGCCGCAATGTTAGAGGTTAATGGAAATCAGGAAGAACTGCATGGATTTTTAATTTGCATAAGCAACTTCTACATTGTCTACATAACCTTATCAAGTAATTCTCTTAGCAATGCATGGTTTTACCGTGCACTTGGAGCTCACTATCATCTATGATAAGAAAATCCATTCAGAGGCTTAACTCATTGGAGCCCAGAGCCGGGATCAAAATGTTTACCTCCAGTATTGATATACATGAATACCACTGTAGGCCATCTATGTAGTGTTATGCCCTCAGTGTCACAGATGAACTGTATCATTTCAGGGCCAGCTGGCATGCCCGGATTCCCGGGTCTCAAAGGTCCCAAAGGGAGAGAGGGAAGTGCTGGGTTTCCAGGGATCCCAGGTCCACCCGGCCATTCCTGTGAAAGAGGCGCTCCAGGGAGACCAGGGCCACCAGGGCTCCCTGGAGCTCCAGGAAGTCCAGGTAAGTGTCGGCAAGTGTCAAGAACTGTGACAGGTGTGGGGTTTACCCTACTTACAGAGGAATAAGCTCACCTGTTGCTCTTTTACGGCTGCTGGCAGAAGCAAGATTCTTGGGTCAGAAACAAAGGATTTGATTATTTATGGCACCGCAAGTAGCAGGAGTTTCATGTTGGTTTGTGTCATTTCCTTGTGTCACCCAAGTGTCTCTGGGGTGATGTAAGAGGGGCTAGTGGATGCCGCACACATGGTGGGTTGCAGTTTCTGAGCCTGGGATACAACAGCTATACATTAACCTGCAAGACAGCTTGCTTTGCTTACTGGGGGAGGCACTATATCTGTCAGGCTGCTCGCTGCCAACACAACCTTGAGAAATAGCCGGAGTGAGGATGGGTCAGGACCCTCTGTTCTTGGAATACCCAGCAAGACATCAAAGAGACCCATGAGAAAGTGTCTCTCAACACAAGGTGCTGGGGGGCTGTTTCCAATATGATCTTTATTTCACCATCCAGATTGTCACCTGTTATTTAAATTCTGCTGTGCTTATCCAAATCCAAGAATACACCCTCTCAAAGGATCACAACGAGATTGGAGCAAACCCTGCCACTACAGCTTTGTTTTTAATCACCAATAATTCTAGATGACGTTGTTGATTCCTATAATTCTCTCATTACAAATGAACAGCTTGACCAAAATTCACTTGGCTCTAGCTTTAAGAAGCACCTGAAATGTTTTCTTCTATTAGTTCCCACCCTTTCCCCACCCAAGAGTAAATATAAATTCTTTACCCTTATCCATTTTCCATTTTAAAAGACTTTATAATGCATCTCAACTGGGAAATATTTATTCAAGTAATCTGCCTTTCTTTCTATAGCGGCCAGAAAAATACATACTTAGACTGATGGAGAGTCGCTACTGTGATTTTAGCTGATAAATATTGTTTACTTGGCCACAGATACACAATTTAAGCTACCATGGATTTTTTTCCTGCCCTGTGTGAAGCCAGTTCTCAGTCTTCCTACACTGTTGTCACTGCGGTTTGTCACAGGTGCCCCAGGTTGGAAAGGACAACAAGGGGACACGGGGCCTCCTGGACCCGCTGGAATGAAGGGCCTCCCTGGAGTCCCAGGACGGCCAGGGACAGATGGACCCCCAGGGCCCCCGGGAGTCCCAGGCCCCAGTGGGGATGATGCGCTACCTGGTCTTCCAGGCCCAAAGGGTGGGTATTGCTTTTCCATTATTCCCCCCCCCCGCCATTTTATAAACCTGAAATCCACTGCCAGGTGAAGACAATTACAGGTGACCATACTGTGGAGTTTACTGGTATATTAGCCTGACTTGGTCCTTTCCTGTGTGACTTCTCCCTTCTTCTTGTCTTCTGTATTGTAATTTCCAGGGGCAGAGTGTTCTGGTTTAGGTAAACGGGAGTGTTGGGGGGAGGGGTTAGGTCCACAGAACCTACACACACTTCTGCCCGGAGGACTGGGTGGTACTGATGGAGGGGGGAGGTCAGGGCTGATGTGCTTCCACTTTGGATGGGCCC